AGGGATCCCAACAGAAAGGCCCTCGGCAGGCGTGTGACGGCCCCGAGGACGCTCTTCATGCCACACGTGTCCTTGCAGTCCCAGCTCTCCTGAGGCCAGCTGCTTACCCCACACCCAACTGCTCAAGTCCTCTCGGCTGGAATAGAGGTTTGCCAAGTGCGAGAGACTTGGAGGTGATGATCCTGGAAGCCTAGGCTGAAATTGCCCGTGACCCTGGCCCACCTTTCTTCCGAGCTGTGTTTGGTGCGACATTGTATGAACTGTGCTCTGTCTCATAGCCTGAGAAACGTGGGGCACACGGAAGTCCCATCAGCTGACGGCCAGGTCCCTGTGCCCAGGGTTGTTGAATCTCTCCATGTGTGGTTTGCCAGCAGCCCTCTGATCCCCTTCCTGGGCCACTCTCGGTCCCAACAGGGTGCTGAGACCAAGACAGGCGCTCCCTGAACACCTGGGGCTGGCTGGACACAGCATGTGCATCCTCAGTCAGATGCCCTCTTTCTGGTGATACCCGCAGGGCAAGAGATGCCTTCTGGAAGAGCTGGAAGTCTCCTCACCACCAGACAGTGCAGCGCAGAGGCTGGGGAGGTGCGGAAGGGCACCACGCACGTCACGCAGGCAGCGCTGTCTGTCCGTCCTTCCGACATACTGAGAACCATATATATATATATACACACACACACACACACACACACACACACACACATATATATATATATATATATATATATATTTTGACAGGCAGAGTTAGACAGTGAGAGAGAGACAGAGAGAAAGGTCTTCCCTCCGATGGTTCACCTCCCAAATGGCCGCCACGGCTGGCGCTGCACCGATCCGAAGCCAGGAGCCGGGTGCTTTCTCCCGGTCTCCCATGCGGGTGCAGGGCCCAAGCACTTGGGCCATCCTCCACTGCCTTCCTAGGCCACAGCAGAGAGCTGGAACCATATTTTTTAAAACTTTTTTTCCTCTCAAGAGAAGCCCCAACACTGCTATTTTGTAGGTGGCGGTGCACATTGGTACGAGTGCTCAGAACTGCTGCACCCATGTAGGAAACCCAGATGGGATTCTTGGCTCCTGGCTTTGGCCTGGCCCAGCCCACACTATCACAGCCATTTAGGGAGTGAACCAACAGATGGAAGATCTCTCTCTCCCTCTCACTCTCTCTCTCCTTCTCTCTCTTTTTCTCTCTCTTTCTCTGTCATACTGCCTTTCAGATAAATAAAATAAGCAATATTACCAGTTTCATTATTTGCCTACAGGTATTTTCTCTTTCTCCTGACCATATAGCATACTTGTAAGAAGTATGAATTGGAACAAACACTTAGGAAAACTATTTGGCATTTTATACTAAAATGCATCATACCCATGTCTCAAACCCAGAATTCTGCAAAGTACAGCCAAGAGAAATAGTTTATGCTTTATGTCAAAGACATGTACAAAAATGTCCATAACACTTAGAGGCAAAAAGTAGAAATAACCCAACATGTCCACCTGCAGCAGGATGTACAAATAGATGGGTATAATTACACAATGGGACACTCCCACAATGACAGTGAGCCTGTTGTCAGGGCACCAGCCATATGTGTGAATCACGTAAACATGATGTTGAATGGAAGAAGCTAGTACTGGCTGTGTGTTTCATTTACGTAAAATCCAAAGCAGGCGAGTCCATCTTTGGTGTTACCCTTTGGCTGAGGGTAGTGACTGGAAGGAACAGTGGGATTTCTGGGGCTCTGAGAATGTTTTGGATTTTATTAGATTGTGGCTGTGTGGATGTCCTCACTTGGTTGATAGTGTCTTGAGCCGTCAGCTGTGATTAGTTTAGACTTGAGCGCCTCCAGTATAATTTTTCTAACACCTGGTTCAATACAACCTTATAATTCACCTTGTAAAGTAGATAGTCGTTTTTGGAGTATTCAAAAAGTTGTAAAATTCTCGCCACTCTCTAGCATTCTCACTGCTCACTGTGCCCCCTGAGAGTCAGTCCCCAGCCCCATCGCAGCCCCTGGAAGCCATCAGTCTACCACCTCTGTGGATTTGTCTGCTCTGAACGTTTATGGATTCATCTAGTATGTGGTCTCTTGTTTGTATGGCTTCATACACTGAGCACGATGTTCCTCAGGTTCACCCATGTCACAGCTCATGTGTCAGTACTTCACTCCTTTGATGGCTGAATCATATTCCACTCTATGATAAACGTTCATTTATCAACTGATGGATGTTTGGGGTGCTCACTTTTCTACTCTAGAGAGTGCTGCGATCAACATTTGCATACGACTTTTTGTTTTCAGTTGTTTTGTGATATGCCCCGTAGTGAAACGGCTGGAAGCAAGTGGCAGGAATGGGCCCCCTTGTCTTGTTCCTCATCTTAGGAGCAAAGTGGCCTTTGTCAGCCTGAAGTTTTCTCTAGTTTCTTGAGTTTTTTTAAATATGAAAAGTATTGTGTTTTGTCAAAGGCCCTTTTCTATGGCCAATGGAATTATAATGTGTTATGTCCTTTATTAATATGGTACTTTCATTTTCCTATATTAAACTTCTAGTCCAGAAATAAATCCCAGCCACAGCATAGAATCCTTTTAAATGTCACTAGATTCCCTGAGTAATTTGTTGAGTAAATTTCTGTATTCGTGTGGGATATTGGCCTGCAATTGCAATTTTCTGTTTATGTTATATGTTTGTCTGGCTTTTGATATCGAGGAAATATGAATCTCATGGAATGACTTGAGAAGTGTTCCCTCCTCTTTTAATTAATTAATTAATTAATTGGCATTAATACTTCTTTAAATGTTTGGTAGAAATTTACCAATGAGGTTGTCTGGACCTGTGCTTTCCTTTTGAGCAATTTTTTGTTGTTAATTGCATTTTTGTATTTGTGATAGACTATTCAGACTTTCTATTTCTTCTGAGTCAATTTCAGTCGTTTGTGTCTTTTAGGAATTTTCCATTTCCTTTTAAATCAGTCACAACTGATGGCACACAACTGCTCTTACTATTTCCTTACTATTCGTTTCATTCCTGAAAGGTTGACTGTGATACCCCTCTTCTGTTCTTCATGAGAGTGACTGAGTTCCTCACCCGTCCGTTTGCGAGCCCTGTTGCTGTCCCCGATGTTGTCTTAGAGGTCCCTGAGGCTTTGTTTATATTTCTTTCATCTCTTCCTTTCTGTGCCTCAAGCCAGAGACTTTCTATTGGCCCATCCTCAAGTTTGCTGAGGTTCTCTGCCATCTCGCATCCACTGCTGCTGGCACATCCAGTCTCATTCTGATCATCATTTGTTTTCAAGTATAGATTTTCCTTTAGTTGTTTGTTATACTTTCAATTTCTTTGTGGTTTTTGCTCCTAATTGTTAAATCACTATCAAGGTATTTTCCTTTAGTTCCCTAAATGTGGTTTCCATTGATCCTTGAGCACAATTATAACAGTTACAAATTATTTTTCCACCAAATCCAGGCTCTGGGCTCATTTAGAGTGATTTCTGTTGACTCTGTTCTCCTAAGTTCAGAGTTATCCTTTCCTATTTTTTGTTGCCTTTCTCAAACTTTTGTTGTTGTTGAAAATTGGACATTTTAGATATTACATTGTAGCCATTCTGAAGGGTTTTTTCCCCCTGAGTGTTTTTGTTTTTGGTTTTTTAACTTGCCTGGACTTTAGTTAATACTAATATATCAATATTGTTTTATTAATTGTAACAAATGCACCAAACTAATGTCAGATGTTAAGAACAGGCAAACTGAATATTGGGTTAATAAGAATTTTCTATACTACATTTTAAATTTTTCTCTGTCCAAATCATTCCCCCCAAATGAACATTTTTTTAAAAGATAGTTTTAAAAAACACATTTGAAATTTTTAAAGGTTTATTTATTTATTTTGAAAGTCAGAGTTACAGACAGGGAGAGACAGAGATAAGAGAGAGGTCTTCCATCTGCTGGTTCACTCTTCTAATGGCCACAATAGTTAGGGCTGGGCCAGACCAAAGCCAGCAGCCAGGAGCCTCATTCAGGTCTCCCACTCCCAAACACTTGGACCATCTTCCACTGCCTTTCCTAAGGTATTAGCAAGGAGCTGGATTGGAAGTGGAGCAGCTGGGTCACGAACTGGTGCCCATATGGGATGCTGGCGTCGCCGACGGCGGCTTTATCCACTACACCACAACACCGGCCTCACACATTTGAAACTTTAAAGTCTGTTCCTAAATAATGGGCTAAGGGAGAAATTATCATGAGAATCTGAAAATATTTAGAACCAATAACAAGAAAAGTAATTCATATTAAAGCTTGGGGGTCAGGCCTCAGACATTCGGTCTAGTGGCTTAGGTTGGGATGCCTAGATTTGCGTCCAACTATGCTTCTGATTGCAGTTCCTGCCGGTGCACACCCTAGGAGGCAGCAGGTCATGGCTCAGGTAGTAGACACCCGCCACCCACCTCGGAGACTAGATGGAGTTTCGAGCTCCTGGCTTCAGCGTGGCCCAGCACCAGCCATTGTGGGCACTTGGGGGAGTGAACCAGAAGATGGAGTGCTCACTCTACCTCCCTTTTAAATAAATAAATAAATAAACAAATAAATAAATAAATAAAATTGTTGTTTAAAAAAATTGTAGGATATAGCTAAAGCACCATTTAGAGGCTAGTTTATGTCTTAAACCTTTGCAAGTTGCAAACCAAAAAGTTTAGTTTTCACCTCTGAGTCAACTCAAAGAAAATAAGATAGTAGACGTTAGAAAATGAATGATTGTCTTTAAAAGAAAAACAAACATGGAAAAATTTAATGATTTTATAAAGTTTATTTTTTTAAAAAAGATTTATTTATTTATTTGAAAGAGTTACTCAGAGAGAGGAGAGGCAGAGAAAGAGAGTGTGAGAGAGGTCTTCCATCTGATGGTTCACTCCGCAGTTGGCCACAATGGCCAGAGCTGTGCCGATCCAAAGCCAGGAGCCTCTTCTGGGTCTCCCACATGGATGTAGGGGCCAAAGCACTTGGGCCATCTTCCCTGTCCCAGGCCATAGCAGAGAGCTGGATCAGAAGTAGAGCAGCCAGGACTAGAACCGGCGCCCATATGGGATGCCAGCGCTTCAGGCCAGGGCGTTAACCCACTGTGCCACAGCTCCGGCCCCTATAAAGTTTATTGTTAAAAAGGCAGCTGGGAACTCAACCTAGGTCTCTCACATGAGTGGCAGGAACCCAGCCACCGAGCCGTCTCCTGCCACATCCCAGGTGTGCATCAGCAGGAATCTAGAATCAGAAGTGGAGTCGGATCTGAACCCAGGTGCTCCGGTATAGGAAGCAGGGGTCTAAGCAGCATCCTCACCGCTGTGCCAGACGTCTGCCCCCAACCTCACTGTATCTCCATTTTCCCGTGCACTTCTCTGAGTCCTTTGTACAGTCCATAGTCAGCATATTTGTGCGCTCATGAAGCATTAAGCACGCAGGCCCCCACACCCATGCCCTTGTCTGTGCTGTGCAGTCAGCGGCATCCCTGCCTGTCTGTGCCCAGTCTCCCTCGCCTGGTCCCTGCCTGGTTAGGGTCCAAAAGTCCCAGAGATTATCTGCTGAAAGCCAGTGAGCCCTCCTTCACCCGGTGTGAGACGCACGGCTTCCGTCCAGACCTCTGTCAGCTCAGCCGGGACACGTCGTGTCAGCGTGGGCAGGACGCCTTTGTCAGTATGCTTGCTTGTGCTTTTTGTTTTTCCTTAGCGACCACAGAGCTTGCAACAGCCGGCATCTTAGATCTGGTGAGATGCAGCTGGTAGAAGGAGAGCAGAGGAAGTTCAAGTCCTCTGAGAACTGTGGCTCACCTTAATTTAGATTCGACACTTGTGTTTCCAAATAGGCCAGAGTCATTCAACTATTAACACTGACTTTTTAAAAAGGAGTAGCTACATAGCCCTTGTTATATGCCTCTCATGGAGCAGATATTGTCTCTCCTTCTCTCTCTCTCTTTTTTTTTTTTTTTTTAAGATTTTACTTATTTATTTGACAGGCAGAGTTACAGACAGTGTGAGAGAGAGACAGAGAGAAAGGTCCTCCCTCAGCTGGTTCACTCCCCAAATGGCCGCAACGGCCAGAGGTAGGCCTATCTAAAGCCAGGAACCAGGAGCTTCTTCTGGGTCTCCCACATAGGTGCAAGGACCCAAAGGCTTGGGCCATCTTCTACTGCTTTCCCAGAAAATAGCAGAGAGCTAGATCAGAAGTGGAGCAGCCAGGACTAGAACCCAGTGCCCATATGGGATGCTGGCGCCGCAGGTGGAGGATTAACCCAGTGTGCAACTGGCCAGCCTCTCTCCTTCTCTTACAAGAAGTCGGAAAGACAGTTTGCCCTGTTTACAGAGACAAGACAGTGAGGGTTAGAGAGACAAGATCAGATGGCAGGGCCAGGAGGATAAAGGACAAAGCCGGCCGATGGGCCAGAGCAGCACTTGCTCAGAGGGGTCTTTACTCGGCGCCTGGTGCTCCCACCTGTGCGTGGTGGACCACCGGCCAATGGCCCAGAAAGTGCCGTGCGGGCGTCCCCGTCGGCAGGAGCTCCCAGCGGTCCCGGAAGCAGAGCCTGGGCAGCAGGCGTGGCACCGGGCAGTCTCCGTGTGGGGACGTGATGGTTTCTGCTGTCAAGTGCTTTTGTCTCGTGCCTTCACGTGCTGTGGATGAGAGCAAAGAGTTATGGAAGTCGTATGGCAATGGGCACTAAGAGAGTTTCAGGTTGTTTTTATAGACTTTGACCAGGAAATTCCAGTTTCTAGGAATTGACACTGCAGAGATCAGAGGAGAGGCACACGGCTATCTCTGTTCCAGGATGTTTATTGCAGTGCTGTTGAAGTAGCCCCAGACTAGAGGCCAACCTCAAGGTCTGACTGCAAGGAAACAGATTAAGTGGGGTACCTCTTCCCAGTGAAGCTCTTGCAGTCACACTTTAAATAAGGGTTTTGAAACTACTTGCTGACACGGAAGAAAACGTTAAACAAGGTAGAGTAACAATAGGTTATAAAGCAGCATACATGATGTGATCTAATGTGGCTAAGTGTGTGAATTTATGTGTGAAGAAAAGTCTGCAAGAAGGTACAAAAGAATATTCATGTTAGATATCTGTGGTTTCTTTCTTGATTTTTTTTTTTCAGAATTTTCCCAGAACCTTTGTAGTGAAAACGTGTTACTTTTACATTCAGAGCAGGGAAAAGATATCTTAAAAAAAAAAAAAAAAAGTGTGCACTTGCTTTTGCTGATCGCATAGGGCTGACCCTTCAGGAGGGATGGTAGCTTTTCTAGCCACTGAGTTTAGAGATAGCGTTTGTATGACGGAAAAGGGAATTTCCCACTGCACTGGCTGCAGGCAGCAAACATCAGTGGCCAGCTAGCCGGAGGTACGGAGAGTTCATCTTATCCAATCTCTGTGGATCCACTCTGTTCTCACTGGTGGTCACTGGTTAGGATCTCAGGACAGAATCTTCTGCACAACGGAAATGCCTATCATTTGGTCTCTTGTAGAGATAGGACTTCCTTACAGATAACTCCATTTTCTCCAGACTTATCAGCTCCGTGAAATCAAGAGTAAAACTCACTGGCGTATCGTGTCAGTCTTGTTGCTTGTCTGTAGGATAGTCAGAGTAGAATCCCAAGTGATGCAACACTCTAACACTTGTTCCAGAAGACCTTCTCAGAGATCAGTAACGCCTTCAGACGATGGAAGGCATTTTTCTCCCCTAGTCACAGGCTGAAATTTAAAGGGAAAATGCGCTTTATCGTTTCATTTTGTCCCTAGCAAAGTGACACAGTGTATCTGGCTAGTGGCATATTTTTTTAGGGATTGTTGTTCCCAGGAGCCCTTTTCTTAGCATCCATAAATGAACGAAATGCACTTGCCAACACACAGCTGGGAAGTGATGGCAAAAGGACCGATGGTGAGAGCTGATTGTATTCAAGAGTGAAACGGAGACTAAAACGAAGGCAAGAAAGAAAAAGTGGCAGCCACAGGGGAATGTTCTGTGCATTGAGAAGTTAGAAACGACACGAGTGAAGAAGCCCCTCGGTGGAGAGTGGAGCACCTTTGCCGACCGCCTCCTCTCTGGCAGCTGGGAGTCGACACCACTTAACAGCTGACAGATGGAGTAACAGAATGATCAGCTCACGAGTCCACACAGGACAGACACTAAGGAGAGAGAACTCCAGCACACGGGGCGATAAGCGCGAGGAAAGGAATACAAGAGGAAGAGAGATATTTTAATGCTATCATTTCCCAGAGAGGGAGATAATATCTAAAGTAGATGACTAAGGATATTATATCAGATTTTAATATAAAGTAACCACTGGTTCAAAAGTATAGATCTTGCTCCCTAACTATCAAGGAAAACTGAGCTCCCTAAAATACAAAGAACACTCATCAAACTGCGTGCTTACTTGTGGGCAAATTTATGATACATAAATTATATCTCAAAAAAGCTGGTAAGGGGGCTGGCGCTGTGGCATAGCAGGTAAAGCCTCCACCTGCAGTGTCAGTATCCCATATAGGCACCAGTTTGGAACCCAGCTGCTCCACTTCTGATCGAGCTCTCTGCTTATGGCCTGGAAAAGCAGTGGAAGATGGCCCAAGTGCTTGGGCCCTGCACCCACATGGGAGACCTGGAAGGGGCTGCTGGCTCCTGGCTTCAGACTGGCCCAGCTATGGCCGTTGTAGCCATCTGGGGAGAGAACTGGCAGATGGAAGATTCTCTCTCTCTCTCTCTCTCTCTCTGCCTCTGCCTCTGCCTCTGCCGCACTATAACTCTGCCTTTCAAATAAATAGATAAATCTTTTATTAAAAAATTGTTAAAATACAAGAAAATTGGGGCTGGTGCTATGGCATAATAGGTTAACCCTTTGCCTGAAGCGCCAGTCTTACAACCCAGCTCCCTGCTAGTGCTCCTGGGAAAGCAGTGGAAGATGGCCCAAGTGCTTGGGCCCTGCACCTACGTGGGAGACCCGGAGGAAGCTGCTGGCTCCTGGCCTCAGATCGGCCCAGCTCCAGCCATTGTGGCCATTTGAGGAGTGAACCAGCGGGATGGAAGTCTTCTTTCTTTCTGTCTCTCCCTCTCTCTCTGTAACTCTGCCTCTCATATAAATCCTTTTAAAAATAAATAAATAAATAAATATCTTCTTTAAAAATAAATAAATAAATCTTTTTTAAAAATAAGAAAATGACCAATTAATTAAAAACTGTCTTAAAACTATGAAACCATAAGATATACAATAATATAATATGATAAAACTAAAATCAAATATCTGTAAATGAACTCAACTCACATATTTTTTAAAAAGTTTCAGGTTAGCCCACAATGCAAATTTCAAATGCTATGCTTTTTTTTTTTTAAGATTTTATTTATTTATTTGAGAGGTAGAGCTACAGACAAAGTGAGGGAGAGACAGAGAGAAAGAGCTTCCATCCATTCGTTCACTCCCAAATAGCTGCAAATCTTCTGGGTCTCCCACATGGATGCAGGGGCCACAGCACTTGGGCCATCTTCCCTGTCCCAGGCCATAGCAAAGAGCTGGATCAGAAGAGGAGCAGCTGGGACGCGAACCGGCACCCATATGGGATGCTGGCACTGCTTAGCCTACTATGCCACAGTGTCAGCCCCTCAACTGCTATGCTTTTTACAAGAGACCCACCCTAAAACAAAGTGATTAAGATTGAAAACACAGATCGGACAGTTTCTCTATTAATTCCAGCTTCTTTTAAATAATCTCCTGTTGCAACTCAACAAATTTGTGTCTCTTAAAAAGTGACTATTATCTGGGGACCAGTGTGTGGCCCCGTGAGTCAGGCTGCTGCTTGTGACACCAGCATTGCATAGCATAGCACTGGTTCAAGTCCTGGCCTCTCTGCTTCTAATCCAGCTCCCTGCTGATGAGCCTGGGGAGGCGGTGGAAGATGGCCCAAGTACTTCTTCCCTTGCCATCCATGTGGGAGACCAGGATGGAGTTTCTGGCTCCTGGATTCAGCCTTACCCAGCCCTGGCTGTTGCAAACACATGGGAAGTGAACCAGCAGATGGAAGATCTCTCCCTCTCTGTCACCTTGCCTTTCAAATAAACAAATAAATAATAAATAAATAGTTTGTGACTAACATTTTGTTATATCTGCATTTTATTTTTCATATATACACATATGTAAATATGTGTCTATGTATATGTGTGTATATATGTGTATATATATTATGTGTGTGTGTGTGTATATATATATGTATGTATGTATGATGAGGTTTCATGAAAACCTCCGCATAGTTTCTTACTCTTTCCTGGCTAGGGGACCCATCCATGAAGAGTGAAGGGGCGCCCCAAGTTGTTGCTTGATTAGGGTGGAATCAGCCCCAGGTTTTCCAGTCTCCCCATCCCACGCCATGTCTGCCATGCCAGCTCCTCTGGAATGACTCTGAGAGAGCAGGTCAGAGGCTGATGCAAGTTGTTCTCCCTCTTCTTTTCTGAGCAACTCTGCGTGCTGTGCCAGTCCTAGAACCAGACATATCATGTATTAAACCACTAATCCCTACAGCTGTTCCCGGATTATATCTGAGCACATACTGGTATCATCCCCTGTGTTTTTACATTTGAGGAAATTGAGGTAAGAAAGGCTAAGTCCAATTCCACACAAAATCAGCGACAAAGCTGAGATCCCAGGCAGTTCTGTCTGCCTCCTAAACGTGCGATGTCCAGCGTGTAAACAGCGATGTAATGTCAGCAAAGGTTAGGGCTGACCGGGGGTAAAAGAATTTAATCCAAACCGTCAACCATCAGGCACTTTTTAGACTTGGTGTAAGGAAATCAAACCAGAGCTGGCCCTCTGGACATCAAACCTGTGTAGTCCGCCAGGAAGGACCTTGTGTGTTACTTAATGCTCTGTTGTCACCATCATGAAATTCTTAATAATCATCTTTGAACGTGTGTTTTTAGGTGAAGCCTGATGAGACGCTGTAACGCCAACACTCGTGTGCTCTGCTGTCCCTTGCTGTCTCACTGGCGTGCAGCATTCATGACACCCCACGAGCACAGAATCCGCGTGGACTCCTGCCGGATGGGATTGGTGGGGCCGTGAGGACAAGGCAAGCAAGTCCACGTCTGGGGCTGGGTGAGTCACAAAGAAAGGCCGTGCTTCCCTCCCAATGAGAACCTGCTGAGAACAGCAAGAGGCCTGATGCTGTTCTAAGAAACGTAACCAACCAAGGATCTGATCCCTTCTTCCTCGTGACAGTTCCCTGTGTCAGCCAGTGACTGATCCTGAAAGTGATGATGTGGTAGGAGAAGAAAGGACAACCTACTCCCTTTTCCTTTCAAACCACAGATTAGTCAGCCAAAGGCTGAGTGGTCAGTGTGATGCAGCTTGTTATCACACACGTGTTAAATCAAGCACATTGGTGTTTTGGAAGGACGGGTTTTTTTTAAAGAACATATGTTTAAAAATGTATTTTATAAATAATTTTGTGATTCGGGGCTTATGTAGTCATGAGGCAGGCACGTGTGTAGTGAACCTTGTAACAAAACAATGCCGCCTATCACCATTACTCATTTACAACCTTGTTTCTGCTAATTTCATTTTTCCTACTGCACGCGGTTTTGTCCCTGCCTGGTTCATAGATCACACCTCCGAGAAGCCGATTCATCCTGCAGTTCTGAGTGCTGTGTACCCTCTGAGGCTCGTATTGTTTACCCTAGGTTTTCTTTTTCAAAGAAATAAATGGACGTGGTTATAATGTGAGCAGGTATTACAGAATGATGCCAAATAAAGGCTGTAGGGGCACTTGGAGAATTTAGCAGGAGTAATAGATGCTGCTTCCAGTTGAAGGAAGCAGAAAGCCTGTGGTCTTGAGGTATCTGATGTGTAGAAGCTGTTCCTGACATCCATAACGAAGTGCTTGCCCACCCTCACTCTGCTGACCCTAAACTTTGTAGGGAAAACAAAGGGCCGAGCGAGCCAAAGCAACCTGAAAATGGAGAACCACACTGGGGGAGCCACACAGCTGGTCTGCAAAATGAACTGCAAAGCTACAGTAACTGGGAGAGTGTGGTGTTAGCACACAGACAGACAGGGCAACGGGACAGGGAAAAAGTCCAGACGTTTGATTTTTTTAAAAAACAAAATTTCTAAACAATCCATTGAGAGAAAGAACTTTTTTTTTTTTTTTTTTTTTGACAGGCAGAGTGGACAGTGAGAGAGAGAGACAGAGAGAAAGGTCTTCCTTTGCCATTGGTTCACCCTCCAATGGCCGCCACGGCCATCACACTGCGGCTGGCGCACCGTGCTGATCCCATGGCAGGAGCCAGGAGCCAGGTGCTTCTCTTGGTCTCCCATGGGGTGCAGGGCCCAAGCACTTGGGCCATCCTCCACTGCACTCCCGGGCCACAGCAGAGAGCTGGCCTGGAAGAGGGGCAACCGGGACAGAATCCGGCGCCCCAACCGGGACTAGAACCCGGTGTGCTGGCACCTCAAGGCAGAGGATTAGCCTAGTGAGCCGCGGCGCCGGCGAAAGAACTCTTTTCAACAAATGCTGTTGGGGATACGCATTATATGCAGACAGTAAACTTTACCTTTACCTCACACCAAACCCTAAAGGTAACTCAAAATTGAGCACAGACCCAAATGCAAGAACTACACAAGGCTTCTGAACGAACACCAAGGACCAGGTGTTCATGATCTTAGCGAAGAAAAGTTTCCTTTGCCATGACAAAAAAAGTGTGATCTATTAAGAGAACTGATGAATTGGGCTTCATCAAAATTTAACACTTGTTTTAGAAGTGCCTGTGAAGAATTAAAGGACAAGCAACAGAATCAGGGAACATACTTCCAAATCATAGTCTAATAAAGCACTTGTATTCAGAACATGTACAGAACTGTCACAACTCAGTAGGCAGAGCAACACCGCATTGGCAAAGGAAAGAAGATTTGAATAGACAGTCCTCAGAGAAGATTCACCAATGACTGTCAGGCATGCGAAAACCATTCTTGATTATTGGTCATTAGGAAAGTGGGAGTTGTAATGCCACCCACGTATTCCTAAAGTGGCATCTGTCTGTGAACCCTCCTTACCAGTGATGTGCTGGCAAGCATTTGACAACGAGCCCTCTGAAGAAGGGGGAAGGCCTGATGAGTAGCGTTTGTCCATTTCTGTGCTCTAGAAACTCCCACCAGGGCTGATGGGAAGCCACCAACCTGCAGCCCTGAATGGGTGGAGATGTGCGCACTTGGCTCTGCGGTCCTCCTGAGCCCCCGTGACACTGGCCCTGCTCATTCAGTGACCACTCAGGGAGCAGATCTGCCTGCTGGGTGCAGGGGAGGCCCTGCCAGCCGCCTAGAAAAATCTCCGTCTTCCTTCCTTTCTTAAAGGGAGAAATGTTAAAGATCTCACCCAACTTAGGAGAAAAATCCAACACTAACAGAGACGACCTCGGGAGGACAAAGACGGTCCTGGAGGAAAACACTCGTATCCTCAGATAGCTCTGAGGAAACGTTTTCTCTTTAAAGAAACCAAGAAAGAGCTCTTAGAAACTAAATCTATGGGACCCAGTGATGTGGCTCAGTGGGTTAAGCTGCCGCCTGTGATACCAGCATCCCATATGAGTGCCAGTTCGAGTCCCGGCTGTTCCACTTATGATCCATCTCCCTGCTAACGCACCTGGGAAAGCAGTAGAAGATGGCCCAAGTGTTTGGGCCCCTGCCACCTATGTAGGAGACCCGGATGGAGCTCCAGGCTCCTGGCTTTAGCCTGACCCAACCCTGGCCGTTGTGTCTATTTGGGGAATGAACCAGAGAATGAAGGATCTCTCTCTCCCTGTCTCTCCCTCTCTCTCTGTGACTCTGCCCTTCAATTTTTTTTTTTTTTTTTTTGGACAGGCAGAGTGAACAGTGAGAGAGAGAGACAGAGAGAAAGGTCTTCCTTTGCCGTTGGTTCACCCTCCAATGGCTGCCGCGGCCGGTGCACTGCGGCCGGCGCACCGCGCTGATCCGATGCCAGGAGCCAGGAGCCAGGTGCTTTTCCTGGTCTCCATTGGGGTGCAGGGCCCAAGCACCTGGGCCATCCTCCACTGCACTCCCTGGCCACAGCAGAGGGCTGGCCTGGAAGAGGGGTAACCGGGACAGAATCCGGCGCCCCGACCAGGACTAGAACCCGGTGTGCCGGCGCCGCTAGGCGGAGGATTAGCCTAGTGAGCCGCGGCACCGGCCAAATTAATTAATTTTTAAGAGAAATTTAAAATATTCTTTGCAAAAAAGAAACTCAAGGGATGAAAAATAAAGATAAGGAAGTCTCCCCTAATGCCAAGAGACAAAGTGTGATGTGAGAAGAAAGAGAGGAACAATCCAGGAGGCCAACATCTGACTACAGGTTTTTGAGAAAAGGAGCCAAAAAATGGAGGGAGGAGGTGAGATAAGAAATAACAGAAGAAGACCGGCGCCTCGGCTCACTAGGCTAATCCTCTGCCTTGCGGCGCCGGCACACCGGGTTCTAGTCCGGGTCGGGGCGCCGGATTCTGTCCCGGTTGCCCCTCTTCCAGGCCAGCTCTCTGCTGTGGCCAGGGAGTGCAGTGGAGGATGGCCCAGGTGCTTGGGCCCTGCACCCCAATGGAGACCAGGAAAAGCACCTGGCTCCTGCCATCAGATCAGCGCGGTGCGCCAGCCACAGCGTGCCGGCCGCGGCAGCCATTGGAGGGTGAACCAGCAGCAAAGGAAGACCTTTCTCTCTGTCTCTCTCTCTCACTGTCCACTCTGCCTGTCAAAAGGAGAGGAGAGGAGAGGAGAGGAGAGGAGAGGAGAGGAGAGGAGAGGAGAGGAGAGGAGAGGAGAGGAGAGGAGAGGAGAGAAAAGAAATAACAGAAGAAAACCCCCCAGATTAAAAATGCCTCCCAGTGAAAAGTTGTCAAGAAAACGAGAGGTGGGAGACCTCCATGGAGACTCATCCATGTGAGGACGAGCAGTGTAAGAGCAGACCGTCCCCAGCGGGAGAATTAACAGAAGGGGATGAAACTCACCACCACGCTGGCGCGGG